GTAGGGGCTGACCGGGAATGTAAAGACACATGGAAAACTGGTGGAAAAGGCAAGACCAGAAGCTGGCTCTTTTGTTCCAAAACTCCATATTTATCCCTTGCATCTTAATTTCTGACAGTGTTCTGCACTCGTTATCTCTGCAGCTCTGTAATTTGCTTTAGAAGGGGCTGAGGACACTGCAGTGCACTCAGACATCAAGGCCTTCTGCCACCTCTCCTGCTCCTTCAGATCTGGGGACCCAGCCCAGCAATCAGCACTGTTCTTAACTTCAAGCACAGAAATGTTTTGTGCCACCCTGAGTGGCCATCAATAACTCAGCAGCAGGAGAGCAGCCCTGTGCAGAGTTTGGGTTTCTTCACAGGGCTGGCACCGAGGCTGGCTTGTGTGCTTAACTGAAGTGTTCTTGGCTAGGGGCCAGCTTGCATTCCTCTAAGCAACCAAACTCCTTGATAATTACTCCTTTTATTTTTGTAATTCTCCTCATCTCATCGTGCCAAGTTATCCCCCAGATATTCTGCTCCTGGTACATTGAAGTGTCAGACACGCTAAAACATTTCAGTAAGTTACATTCTTGGTTTGTTTTCTGGATTTTGCATTGCAAAAAGCAGTAGAGACAGGAGCTGTATTTTACAGTTCTGGGGCACCTGGGCTCAGAATCCCTGTCAGGAACATCCACCCCGAGCTGTGTGTGGATGGCAGAGGCCGGGGAAATGAGCAGAACTCTGCTGCTGCCCCTGTGCTTCGCAAAGCGGCTCCGGGCACTTTCTCCAGCTCTTGTGATTCCCTTCCTGAGTCGCTGCAGCCAAGTAATTGTTTCATCATGTTGCTCTGAAATATTTTCCCATCGTGTCACCATCGCATCCAGTTCTCCAACCGAAGCTCCTCCGTTCACGTACAGAAAATCTGTCCCAAAGCATCCATGGCCCTGCACCCAGGTGGGGAGGGAGGGAGGGCGCAGGGGCGGCTCGGGGGGTTTTGGTGCTTTGGAGACCTCGGGGTCCCTGCCACTGCCACCCCTGGGCACCACCAGCGAGCTGCTGCTGCAATCCGCTGGCACGGGCGCGGGTTTATAGCAAACAAACAGGTCTGGGTGCGTGCGGGGCTGGGAGCGGAGCCTCCCACGGCTCCCGCAGCTCCCGCAGACCCTCACAGCTCCCACAGCCTTCCAAAGCTCCCGCAGCTCCCGTACCTCCCACACCTCCTGAGCCAGCGCTTCTCCGGCCCCGGTTTATAGGATTTATTCTGCAATTGAATGGAACCGGGACCTACCCGAACCTCTGATTAAACCCCCTGAGCTCTGGGGAGGCGCTGCGGTGGCCGTGGAATGTGCGGTACAGGAACCCCAAAAGCAAGGGCCAACAGGCCAGGGCAAGGTGAAAACCACATCGAGATCACAGTCTTTCTTAATCTTTAGCTAGCTGGAAATTATTGTTGGAATTTGTTATTGTTGATTGTTATTATATGAATAATTTCCATAGTAAATATATTTTGGGGGGAAAATTTATAATAAATGGGAATTAAATTCGGCACTACTTTGTGAAATTGAGGCACCCAGTTGGGAGGTTTGGAATTAAATATGTCGCTGTTGTAAATGCAAATCAATTATCTTAAGCAAGTGTTAACCCACTTCTCCTCATTTTGAATTCCAGCCCTATAGTTTCCCACACCTATCCACCAGCGTGTCTAGGAGGGGAGAAAAGCCTTTTACTCAAAATAAAACATTTGAACCATTGAGCGGGTGGGAAATGACCACAAAAGGCAAGCTGGGTTCCAGTGGAGTTTCCCATTCAGCACATTTAGGGAACGAGGGCCCTGCCAGCCCTGCGAGCTGCAGTGCCCAGGCAGCAGGGCATTTATTTGGCACAGGAGCAGCATGGCTTGGATTTGGCACAGGAGCAGCATGGCTTGGATTTGGCACAGGAGCAGCAGGGCATTTATTTGGCACAGGAGCAGCATGGCTTGGATTTGGCAGAGGAGCAACAATTAGTAGAGAAAGATGCACAAATTTTCCTGCATCTTCTAAGAGTCACCGATGGAAAGCAGTGGGGAAGGTGGAAAAGCAGCACCACAGTGTCAGAGCTGCTCTGGGTTGCACGTGCCTTGGGCAGGTAACAGAGTGATAATTGAAGAACTGCTTTCAAAACTATAATTGCATTTTTAAATATATTTCTTTAACTGCTACATATGATTTGCTTTGCAGAACTAAGCACTGCTGAATTCAAACACATTATAAACCAGTGCTTTGGAAAGGGGATGCCAGTGCCAGGGATTTACAGGCTGACTTCTACAGAGAAAAACCTCAGTTATTTTAGTAGGAATAAGAAAGACCTGTGGAAATTAATCAGTGGTAATACATCATTTGAAAATAAAAATAAAATAAAAATAATCATAAAACTAAAACTAAAACTAAAACTAAAAATAAAAATCCAAAATGAAATGCTGCTTATAAATGTCTATAATACTGAGAGCAGCTCTCTGGAGTTCTCTGCATGGTTTGCCTACCACGAGCTGTCCTGAGTGGCTTCAGGAAGAGAAGCTCAGCAAGCCCTGAGGCCAACTGAGACATTCCAAGTCCTGCTCTCAGCCAGCAGAATCTTATTTGTCATGGGAAACTAAATCAATATTTGGACCTGAGACACTGTTTGGACAGAGATTTTCCAATCCCTCCACTGCAATTAGAAAAGGTATTTGGAATCTTTTGTCTACTTTAGTGCTTGAAATTTTCTCAGATTCATTTACAAGCTATTTTTTACAGACTATTATTTTCTAGGAAATGTTTTAATTACCTGGGCTTTTTCATATGCTGTTTTAGAGGGCAGAGTATTTCATGGCCTCCATGCATTTAATGGCACTACAAAGATTCTACAATGTAAATTATGAGGGTAATACAAGATTAAGAATGAAGGCTTGGGGAATTCTCTTTCCAAGTATTTCACGGGTTCCTTCTGAGACACTGTAAAATTGGTGTGTTTATGGCCATAATTTTCTTGTCTGTACAAAAACATCATTGCTGGACAAGGTTCCTCCTGAGCTAGAAATCTGTCATCCCAATTTGGAGATTCCTTGGAACACAGCAGTAACTGGAACATGGTTCTTTAGACTGCAGCAAGGCCGGCCCGGCTCTCCTGCAGCGGGGCACGAGGGTTTGAGGATGGGGATTAGCTCCTTCATGCCTGGCAGAGCTCAGCCTCCAAAACTGGACTAGTATTTAAACAGATATAAATACCTCCAGTACATCTTATCTTTCAATCCACCCTGCCTTCCAGCCCCCACAAACCGAACTCTTGTTGGAAACTTTGTTATTTAGGAAGAAAGAAAGGAAGAAAGGAATGTATCTGAGGACATCTCCAGTCCTGCAGCAATTCCACCTTCGGCAGCGCTGGCTCTGCCTGGGAGCGCTGCCTGTGACTTTGGGTGACGTTGTGCGGCCTCCAGCAGAAGAAGAAAATAGGATCTAAGGATGTGGATAAGTTTCGTAATGATACCAATGGTAGAATAAACAGCCACGGGAGGCTGGGGTAATCACCGTCACGAGGGACAGCCAAGACAAGATCCAACGTCTGTCCTGCCTGCAAGAACTTGAGTCACGCTGCTGCAGCAGCGAGCTCACCCAGGGAATCTATTTTAGGGGCTCATAAAAACAACTGAACTGCGCTGCACAAATGAAAAAGCAAATGGGGGAAGTCTGTGCAGTGCTACCCCTGCCCTGCTCAGGACTGCACAGCTCTGGGACGAGCAGGGAGCGTCAGGGAGGGCTCCAGTGATGGACCTGCAGGAGGCTCTGATGGTAAGAGTCAAAAAAAGCACAGCAGTTCTTCCAGTAGAAAACATGTTTTGCTTAAAGAGACGCTGGAAATAAGTGACAAGTTTCAGATTTGTCCTGCAGCCCAGGGCTGTTTGTGTGGAATTTATAGGAACAAATTCAAGGCCGCTGTCTTTGCACTGAAACCCCCTTTTGTGCTCAGCTGTCAGAGCGCAGGCAGCAAAGGAGTTTCTTTCCCCAGGCGCTGGGAATCTGTATGTAAAAACTTCACGCTTAAATTTGGCCTAACAGGAAAATGGAAAATGCTGACTAAGCCCTGATCCTTTGCCCAACTCCCTCCACGTAACCAGCCCGGGAGTGTTCACTCCTTCCAGCCCTTAGAGCAGGGAATAACAGCGGGAGCTGCGGCCAGGCTGGCCCGTCCCAGCACAGGCAGAGCCCTGGATCTCCCCAAAACAAAGTCCTGCCTGCTGCAAACCTCCTGCTCCTCCTCTGCCACCCCCACTTGTCTGTCCCTTGCCCCAGCAAACACCTCTCAGCAGAAGATCTACCTGCAGTTTTTAGGAAAGCGTCTCCAGAGAAAAGGGAAGGGGGCGGTTCAGGAGCCTCTCACCTGGTTGGGTCTCATGGGAGCTTCCTGAGCAATGCCCGAAATTACCGAAATCCAACAGAAATGCTACTTTCTCATGTTTATTCCTGTAAACTACAAACACAAGAAATGCTGAATAGTAAAGAATAGAAACTCTGTAAAGAAAAAAAAAAATCAAACACAAACAAAACCTCATTTCAGGCTTCCTCCCATACTTTTTGTTCCTCCCTCCCACTTCAAACTCGGTGTTATTTGCCAAAGATTGGTCATGGTTTGGATAGCACATCTTGCTCTACACGTTCAAAACAGCATGAAGTGCAGAAAAAAACCCAACACAAACACCTCCTCCCCAAACAACACCCAAGCAGCAACTAAAGCAGGTGATTAAAGGAAATAAAATGAGGCAACAAGAACCGGCTAAGGCTTCCAGCTCTGCTCTTTGCTGAGTTTCTCTTGGGGGTTTTGGGGTTTGGTTTTGGTTATTGGGATTTTTTGTTGTTTTGGTTTTTTTTTTCCTTTCACTCAGAGAAAGTTAAAGACTTAGAAAAATCCCTATCCCTGAATCACAGCATTGAGCCAGAATCAGCTGGAATTTCAGCCCTGTGTTTAATCTAACTTTAAACATGCCTTCAAAATAAAACAAGCTACTTTTTTTTAACCTAGTCATAAAGTTTATTAAAATTGTTCATTAATGCTTCAAATGTAGCAAGAATGCATAGATCCCAAAATATACATATGTATTTTCTTATAGAAATAGATTATTCTTTATAATAAAAAAACTGTAGGAACATCTTTAACAGATTACTCAATCCATGACTGACAGTTACACGAGATTGCATCATGTACACAGCATTCCCAGCCATGCTTAAAGGATTGCATCACTTTGCCCTCGCTCTCCTCTGGCTCTTTTAAATAACCCAGCGCCCAGCAGAGCCCGCCCGGGCCGGGGCCGGGGTCCCTCCGCCCGCCCCGCTGCAGCCCCGGCCCCGCTCCGACCACGGCGGCGGCGGAGCCTTCCGCCAACATGTCGATAGAGACCAAAAAAACAAAAAAACAAATCCAACAACAACAAGAGCACAAATTGAAACCAAAGCCGCCCGCCCGCCGCGGGCTCTCCCCTCGGCCCGGCCCCAGAGCGCGGAGCGGGGCCGGGACCGGGACCGGCGGCTCCGCTGCCCGCCGCCCGGCCGGGGGTCAGCAGCGCGGCGAGGAGGCGAGCAGGGGCTCGGGCAGCTGTTTGAACAAGTTCCTGAGGGTGCTCAGCTCCCGGGAGAGCTGCTCCACCTTCTTCTGCAGCCGCTCGTTCTCGGCCGTCAGTTCCAAGACTTTATGCTGCGTCTCCAGGTTGCGCATTTTGGCTTTGTCGCGGCTCTTGCGCACCGCGATGTTGTTCCTCTCCCGGCGGAGCTTGTACTCGTCGCTGTGCTTGTCCACGCACTTCTTGGGTTTGTTCTTGCCCGCCGGGGCGGCGGAGTAGCCCCCGCCGGCGGCGGCGGACTTGGAGGACTCGGAGGGGTTGGGGGTGCCGGGGGGGCTGGAGGAGGATGAGGTGGACAGGTTCCCGCTGCTGCCGCTCGGCACCGACTGGTAACCCAGGTAGGAGCGCACGGTGCTGCCGTAGGGCGAGGACATGCCCCCCGGTCCCGGCCCCGCGCCCCCTTCTTCCTTCCGGGGCCCTTTGCAAGAGTCCAGGGTCTCGAAGACCGGCTCCACTTTGGTTTCCACGATCTGGGGCGGGAAGCAGCCCTGCAGCCCGCCCGGCTTGTGGCTCTGGCTGGCGCAGGGGTGGCTGTGCCGGGCGAGGCTGATGTAGGTGTAGTCGGGCTTCTTGCCGCCGCCGCTGCCTTTATAGTCCTCGGCGAAGAGATCGGAAAGGAAATCTTGGCCGGCGCCGCTGCTGCACGGAGGCTCAAAGTTGCCCCCTGCTGCTGCCGCGGGAGGCGGCGGCTGCGACGCCAAAGGCTCCAGGTACGGGCTGAAGTCGATGGCTCGCTCGTGGTCCCCGACGGTGAGCTCGGTCATGGAGCGGCCCCCGGCCGCCCGCGGGTGCAGCTTGTTGAGAGCAGCCAGACAGTCCGCCTCGTAATAGAAATTAGCCACTTCCATGGATTTAAAGGCGGGCGGCTGGATGGGGAGGCATGCTGCGTCCCAGGCCACCAGGCGTTGCATGAAAGCAAAGGGGGATGCGGGGAGGAGGAAAGGACGCAGGGGGCCCCCCCCGGCAGAGGGTCAAGCTGCCGCCGTCAGGGTGGGGGGCTCCAGACCCTGCCGCGCTCTCTGGCCTGGGCACGGCCCCGCGGCGCTGCCCGGCCGGGCTGGATCAGTCCCTGCGGCGCGCCGGGGCTTCACCGCTCCGGCAGCTGCGGCGGGGGCTGGCGCGTCTCCTCCGGACCATCTGGTTCTGGGTCCCGTGTCCTAAAGTCTCTGACTTAGGAAAGTTCCTTTCCCCAGTTATTTATAGGGGCGGTGGATCCCATAGCAACAGGCGCGTCACCGCCTGGCCGCCTGCCACTCCGCACGCTCGGCGCTGCCGGTCCCGGCCCCGGAGGAGGCTCCCGGGGCGGGCGCGCCGGTGCGCTGCGGGGCGGTGCGGTGCGGTGCGGTGCCGTGCCGTGCCGTGCCGTGCCGTGCGGTGCGGTGCCCGCCGGGCCGCCCGCAGCACAGCCGGGCCGGGCCCGAGGGACGGGCCGGGTGCGGGCCCGCAGGTGCGGGAGGCCGGGGCTGGCCGGGACGGCAGCGGGCACCGGGCAGCGGGCACCGGGCACCGGGCACTGGGCACCGGGCAGCGGGCAGCCCCGGGGACAGCGTGTGCCGGGCACTGCCGCTGCCCCGTGCTCTGCCGGGGCACTGCACAGCGAGGGGCGGCAGTGCCCGGGGCCGCAGTGCCCGGGGCCGGCAGTGCCCGGGGCCGGCAGTGCCCGGGGCTGGCAGTGCCCGGGGCCGGCAGTGCCCGGGACTGGGCACAGATCGCTCCGCGTCCCGTTTCACCCTAGGGGAAGTCAAGGCAGGAGAGATTTTCCCAAGTTCTTTTGGCAAAGAAGGGGGAAAGCTGCCCACCAAAGGCGGATCCCGTTACTCTGAGTCCCGGGCTTTCTTTGGTGAATCCCCCTGGCACAGAAGTGCCCACAGGACGTGCCCAGAGCCGCTGGCCAGGGGCCGAGCGCTGAGGCCGGAGCCGGGCACTGCAGGGCACTGCCCCCGCTGCCCCGGCGGCCGCGGGCAGCCGGAGCCCAGCCAAGGCAGCGCTGCCTCCCGGCGCTCCCAGCACCCATGGGGGCCTGAACGTTTGTCTTGGCGTATTTGCTCTGCACGATGTGGTGCAACTGTCAGGGCACCCACGGGAACCGGGAACGGGGAACCGGCTCTGGAGCCAAAGGAGACGGAATGGGGGTCAGAGGAGAGTGAGGTTCGTGCATCAGAGGGTGGAATCCAAGAGTTTTGAGATTTGCGGGGTAAGTTTGGGAAGGAAGACTGAATCCCGATGTCCGTTTTAATTAAAGACACCCACCTTGGGAATCAAACTTATATTTTCACTCTCTTACTCCCACATTTACCTGTCTACAAGCTGATGATTCATGCCCAGAATAAAGGACATTAATTTAAAACAAAACATATAATTAAAGGAAGTAGGAGTGTCCTCCCTCAGTAAAGAAGACCTAGCACTGCAGGGAAAATGACACTGCCTCTTAGAATAATGTGAAGCAATCCTGCGGTGTGGGAAATATTGTAACGTTAAGCCAGAGGAACAGGTATTGCATTATATGATTCAAACAGTCAACTGTTCTTAATGTTCAAACCTCAGAACTCTGAAAAGAGGAAGAATTTAAGAATCAGTCAGTGGATGATCAGACTTTTTCTTTCTTTCTTTCTTTCTTTTTTTATTTTTCTTTTCATGTTTAATAGGATTTATTTGTTTGTTTCCATAACAAAAGCCCCCTAACAGGTTTTCAGGCTTCAAATATTTCTAGTTCCATCTTTATCTACCAAGTTAATCTTTGGTGAATGCACTAGAGATTAAATTGGAGCTGGGCCTGGCCAGAGAGCTGGGTCTGGAGATTGTAGTTGGAGCCCATACCTTCATAAATACAAACATCTGTATTGGGTGCAAATACTGGCAAGCTGCAGTGAGCCAGGGCTTGTTCTTCTGGCTGTTTACTCCCTCATCCTGTGCCTTTATCCTGCATTCTGATCTGGCAGTTACATCCAGTGGCTGCCCTAACTGGCCCTTCCAACCGAACTCTTAAAAGTCAGTCTCGTGTTTCCTACCCCCAAACGGTCCCAGGGCCCCGGGGCAGGAGCCCTCCTGGGTGCTGACCTGCTCCAGGCACAGCTGGTCTGCCCTGGCATTGCCCCAACGTGTCCACAGCTCACCGTGGTCCTCAAGCTAAAGTCAAATGCTAAAGCTGCTTGGTAAAGTTCTCGAAGAGATTTTCACCACGGTTTTGGGGATCTGCGTTTGCCCTCTTCAGATTTCTGCCCTGTTCTGGGCTGCTGTGCAGCAGAAAGTTGTATTCCTGCCGGGGTTAATCCTCCCTAAGGAAAGGAAAGGAAATGTCTGTGCAGCTGTCATGAGAAGCAGATTCTATCGGCAGCAGGGCCCACACCTGCTCCGCCGGCCGCTGAGTAATGCCGCAGTCACCCCGACCACGTCAGCCGGGCGGTAATTCAGGTCGGGTGCCCGGCCTGTCCCCTCCTTCCCTTCTCCCCCTCACCTCCTGCTCTGCCTGGATCCCTTTCAACTTCCTCCAGCTCACCTCAAATCCCAGCATCCATCTCCCGGAGCCAACGGCCGCTCTCAGCTTCTCATGGGAACCTTGTTGGCGGGACTAACCACGGACCCAAAACCCCAGCGTTCCGCAAGCAGGTTTTGGGCTAACTCTGGTCTCTTTTCAATTATTTCTGCACTTGTCACAACAAATGCACGGCCAGAAACGGGGGTTTGGAAATGGGAACAGGTGCAGAACGAGGCTCACACCACAGGACTGAGCCGAGGTCTGGGCACACAGGGCTCTGTCCCTGCGAGTGCCTGGCTCGGCCTTGCCAGGTGTGCAGAGACTGCTAATAATTGTCCTGGAAATTGTCCTGCAAAGCTCCTCAGAGGTGCTTTAGGCAGGGAGATGCAGACATTCCTGGTTAAGGGACCCAGGCACTGGCAGCAGCCCTTCAGCTTGTCTCCCAGCAGAGCAATTTTCATTAGAAAAGCAGCACTTCTGTGAAAAGCACCTTCCTTCTAGTGATTTCATCATTTCTTTCTTTTTCAGAACTATTCAGCTGAGGGAGGAGACAGCAAAAGTCCCAAATTACTTAGTAAGAATATAACATTTTTGAGAAAAAAAATCTGATGCAATAGCATTGAGGTTCCTCTACATTCATATGTAAAACAATCCAGGCACAGGGAGAGGAACAGAAGGAGACCAGCATGGTGAAAAGGTGGAGGGAAGACTCTTATCCTCTCTGCTCATCTCTGTCATGAATTAAACTCTGCTCTCTCTTTCTACTGTAGAAGCTTCAACTTTGCAGCTCAGACCTGCAGTAAAGCATCACAGAGGAATTTTCTTCCTGGAAATTGTCTTTTTTTCCAGGATTTCTTGCAAACTTTCCAGTTCACACACTCCAGGTCTACAGCAGCTGCCTCTGGAATGACCAGCTTTGGGGAGATGATGTGAGTTTAGTGGGGACGGCTCAGACACTGGAGTGTATATCAGAAGGTCTCTGGACTGAGGGTCAAGCCCTAGAAAGAGCCTGGCTGACAGTTCTGATGTTTCTTGCTCAGTTTTGCCCCATTTCTTATTTCCCTGGCAGTAGCTGCCAGCAGGTCAGTAAGATCAGAGCTGCTCACCCACCCTCCAGAGCTGCAGCAGAGGGGCAGAGCAGGGGCAGCGGGGCAGGAGGGCGATGCCAGCAGCCACAGCAGTGCTGGAGGTCTGGGAGGGGTTGGAGGTGAGGAGGAGAACAGGAGGGACCCCAGAGCAGGTCCGTGCAAAAAGCACGGAAGGTCTCTGGGGGGTAGGAGGGGACCTTGCCTAAAAGAGCAATGTTGCAACAAAGGCTGTAAAATAGAGAAGTAACATTGAAATTTATTTCTGAGCATGTTGAGCCCTTTTTTCCCCTTCTCCCTCGCCCCAGGTCTCTCCTTATTCAGCTGCACACCATATGCCAACGTCAACTCAGCAGCTGCACCTGGCAGAGCACAGGTTTGAAACCACTGCTCTTCACTTGCTGTTCTCTGCTGTAAAACCACTGCCCTTGATGAATGTCAGGCAGGGACAATGTTTCAGCTCAAAGGAGAGGCTGGCTCTCCTTCTGTCTGCCCCAGCTCAGGCCAGGCTCGAGCCTTTGCTTCATTTGAACACGAAAAGGGATTGGCACAGGCTTTCCCCCCTGCCCCGTGGCTGGATGCTGTGCTGGCAGTGCCAGGGCAGGCTGTGTCTCCTTCGCTCCTTTTGTCACAGACTGGGGTCCTCCCCCAGCGCTCCCTCACCCTGTTCCCGTGTGACACGGTGATGGGCTGGGACATGGTTTTTGTTGGTCTTCTGCTGATTTTCTCTCACCTCTGACCCAGCAGGCTCGGCCTTTGCAGCGCTGCGTTGCTCAATCCCCTTTATCTCCACGCTGCTCTTTGCCCCAGCGGGTGCGCGGAGACGACACCTGGAGACTGACACCGGTGGGACAACATCAGCCAAACGCCCTCCCGACCAGACTGAAAATTTTCCAGAGCAAAGCTGAGGTCAGAGCACCCACCCTGCGGCTGAGAAACAAGGAAAGGAGGAAGAGTCAGGACACCAAGGCCCATGGAAGCACAGGCCACGATCTCCATCCTGCGTGGCAGAGAAAGCCCCTCAGGAGCTGTCTGTCGGAGGGATGTGGGCTGGCAGTCTGAGCAGAGACAGTGAGAGGGGACTGTATTTTATGAGTAGCCCGTTTCCTTGTGCTCCATAAAAATGGCAGAGAAGTTGCTGCCCACTAGGTTTCAAAAGTTCTCTGTAATTGCCTGACATTTCCTGGGTAATTGCAGCCTCCTGCTTTGATGAATTTGTTACAGATCCTGCATTTATGACTTCTAGAGATGTCATTCAAAAGATCCATCAAGAGAGACGAATTCTATCCTTCCAGGGTACCCTGCGAAGCGTCAGAAGTTCCTAGTAACAGGACTTGGTAATTCATTTAGGAAATTTCTAAAAGAGGAGAACTCTTCTGCGGTCCTGAGGCTGTGGGACAGACAGCTTGAACTCCATGGGGTGTATGGCAAGGGGCAACATAAAACAAGGGAAGTCTGAGAGGGGGTGACAGGAGAAGGGGCTTAGACAAAGAAATAGAAGATTTTTTTCTTTATTAAAAGCATTAGAAGTCTGTGCTCTAGACTGTACAAATACTTGTTTTCCATCTGCTCTCATCCCGTGTCGAGCACCACAGGGAAAGCGGGGCTGCCAGGGAATCGGTCCGGGCTTGTTGTTTGTGAGTGCTGGCACTCGGAGCAGCCCCGGGGCCGGTCTGTGCCACCCGGCAGTGGCTGTGCGGCCGGGCTGCCAGGCGGGCGGGGAACCGCGGTGCTCTGTCCTCCGCACGCCGCGCTCCTCGGCCCCGGCCATCTCCCCACCTTCGCATTTTCGGCTTTGGACGGGAGCCGTGGGAGTGGCTGTGCAGCTCTGCCACCCACTGACACTTTCCCATGCCAGAGAGAGTCCGGCGAGGAGCCGCAGCCGGTTCCTGCTCCCCCGTGCCCCGGGGCTCGGGCGGACCGGGCGGCACGGCGGAGCGGGCGGGTGCGGGGCCGCGGGGGCTGCGCTCGGCCGGGGGATGCGGCAGCAGCCGGGACGGGGCGGCTGGCGCCAGTGCCACCAGTGCCACCAGTGGCACCAGTGGCACCAGCGGCGGCTCCCGCCTCCCCGCCGCGGGGAAAGGAAGGAGCTCAGTGTGGATGGCTCCGGGCAAACGGGCTCCGCAGCCGTAAGAGCTTTCCCGGTCCCGTCCGGGTCCGTCCGGCCCCGGCAGGGCTGAGGGGCGAGGACTGGGCGAGGCTGCCCCGGCAAGGAGACCCCCGAGCGCCGCCCTGGGCCACATCCCGATCCCGGTCCCGATCCCGATCCCCATCCCCATCCCCATCCCGGTCTCCGTCCCGGTCCCGGTCCCGGTCCCGATCCTCGCCCCTCCCCGATCCTGATCCCGATCCGGATTCCGATCCTGATCCCGGTCCCGGTCCCGGTCCCGATTCCGATCCCAATCCTGATCCCGGTCCCGGTCCAGATTCCGATCCCAATCCTGATCCCGGTCCCGATTCCGATCCCTGTCTTCGCCCCGCGCCCGGCAGCAGGCTTGGAGCGCCACCTAGCGGGCGGGGCCGTGCCGGGCGTCACCGGGACCGGGACCGGGACCGTGCCCGTGCCCGGCGTTACCGGGGCCCGGACTGTGCCCGTTCTCCTCTAACTTACACGTTCGCTGGGGCACGGGCGGCCGCCTGCCGCAGACCCGCCGGGGGTGTCCCGGCACCCCGGTTAACAACGGCTGCGTGAGCACCGAACTGTCACCATGCTCACTTCCCAGGGGCCGCCACAGGCACCGACACCGGCCCCGGTGTCGCCGCTGCGGCGGGTCCCGGGCACGCGCGGGCGCTGCCGCGGGAACAGCGCCCCGCGCCGGCAGAGGGCGCGCGAGGCACCGGGCCGAGGGGGCGGCGCGAACGAGACCACCCGGCCCCGTCCCGGCCCCGCTTCCGCCTCCATCCCGGACCGGACCGGACCGCGCCCGCCGCCCGGTCCCGCCCCGGCCCCGCTTCCGCCCTCATCCCATCCCGGACGGGACCAGACCGCGCCCGCCGCCCCGCCCGGTCCGGCCCCGCTTCCGTCCCCGCTTCCATCCCCATCCCGAACTGGACCGCGCCCGCCGCCCCGCCCCGCCGGGTCCCGCCCGGTCCCGCCCGGCGGCCGCCCCCGCCCCGCACTGCGCCGCCGGCCGTGCCGCCGCGCCATTGGCTGCTGCGCGGCGGGCGGCGCTGCCCATTGGCCCGGCGGGCGCGCGGCGGCGGCGGCGATTGGCGGGCGGCGCGGGGGCGGGGCCCGGCCCGGCGCAGCGCGGCCCGGTCCGAGGCTCGGGCGGTCCCGCGGCCCTTCCCGGCCGGACATGGCCCAGAGCGGCCCCGGGGCGGCCGCGCCGCGGGACGAGCCCGCCGAGGAGCCCGAGGGCGGCGGGCGGCGCTGGGGCGCTCAGCACGCCGGGGCCCGCGAGCTGGCCGAGCTCTACTCGCCAGGTGAGGCGGCGCGGCGGGCGGGGCCCCGGGCCGGCCGTTCCCCTCGAGCGCCGCTCTGCCCGGGCCCGGTTCGCCCGGGGCCGCCTCCCCGCGGGCCCGGTTCCCCCCGGAGGAGCGGGAAGGGGCGGCCCGGGGCTGCCGGCCCGCGGCTCCGAGCGGGGCTGCGGCACGGGCCGGGCCACGGGCGGGAGCGGGAGGGGAAGGGAAGGGAAGGGAAAGGGAAAGGGAAAGGGAAAGGGAAAGGGAAAGGGAAAGGAAGGGAAGAAGGGGAGGGGAGGGAAGGGAAGGGGAAAAGGAAGGGGAAGGGAAGGGAAGGGAAGGGAAGGGAAGGGAAGGGAAGGGAAGGGAAGGGAAGAAGGGAAGGGAAGGAGGGAAGGGAAGGAGAAGGGAAGGGAAGGAGAAGGGAAGGGAAGGGAAGGGAAGGGAAGGGAAGGGAAGGGAAGGGAAAAGGAAAGAAAGGGAAGGGAAGGGACGCGCTGCTCGCCACAGCCGGCAGACATCCAGCCAGCCTCTCCCCGTCGCGCCGGTGTGGCCGCAGCACTCGGTAGCACCGGCAGCCTTTAACAGCGGCAGCCTTGCCCTCGGAAATCTGCTCAGCCGCTGCCCTCCAGGCCTGGCACCTCAGAAAGGGGCACAGGGATGCTTCAATTCCTGTTCGCTCCAACTGAAGCTTGGAACTCGTCAAACGAGCTTCAGTTTGTCGTTTGGGTGCTCAGTAAATGACTGTGGAAATAATTGCAAATTCCCTGTTAAAAAGCCATAATTTGTTTTTAGCTCACAGTGTGAGCAATGCTGGGTATTCCTGCCATTCCTAGTGAATCCATTCTCTGGTGAAGAATTAGGGAAGAGGAGATGTGTTTTCAGTATCTTGTGGTTTCCAGGAGATCAGCTGAGCCCAGCTGGCACATCCAAGGCAATTCCTGCACAAGTAAGGCTTCTTACTCACACAGAGCCATGTGATGATAAGAAATCCAAGGCCTTTGTCGGTTTGTGTGACTGGGCCAAGTCTGCCTGTTTCAGTTTCTTTTGCTCCCCTTGAGCTTGCCTGGAGCAGGTCCTTTGTGACACCTTTCACCTGCTCTGGTCCATCTGGGACCGATTCCTGTGCTTTACACAGAAGCACTTCCTGATTTTACCACTGCTCTGGCTCATAAGGACAAGATTTTCCTCCCCAAAGAGCTTGCTGCTCTTCTCACTGCTGTACCACACGTACAGTGATATGTCAGGGAGCTGAGGGTGTATTAGATATGCAGGTTTCTTCTGGAATTACATAAATAATTTACATAAGCAATGCCAGAATATGTATTACGGTGGAAGCGTATCATGTTCAAATTCTGAATCCGTAAGAATGGGGATTGTGTTGAATCGTGCGGAGTGAACATGAGTGGAATATTTCCCTGATTTCTTTAAGGACATGTTCTGTGGCTTTGGCAATTCATTCCTTCCCAGACGTTGGGATTTGAGTGCTCTTTAAACACAAGTTATCAGTGCTGACTCAGTTCCTTGAGTGATTTGCCTTCCCAGGGCAGAGCTGAGGCTGCGTTTTTGAACCTGGATATCTGGACAGCCTTGCTGGATCCCTGTGTTCAGATTACAGAGGTGTTTGCACACCCGAGCTCAGGGGACCTGCCAGCCTCCTTTCCAGCACTCAGCTGTTGATGAGGATCTACCCACTTGGCTCCTCTAATCAGTGTGGTTTTCTTATGCAGGAAGTGCGTGTTAATTAACTCTTACTTTCATTACTCCAGGGATCTGTTTATAGAATCACTCACGTTGTGACCTGATGCTGCTGTCAAATATGGCTGTTCTTGTGTCTTAATTTAATTTTACTATTCTCTCCTCTGCTGCTGCAGAGAGTGTTAATTTATGTACCCATGGCCCTTCTAGAATGTCTAAAACTGCCCTGTCCAAGTCTTTGTTCACACTTTCCAATATTGCCTTGTAGGCACATTGGAGGTAAGACTGATCCTCCGTTTATGTTCCTCCTTTCCCTGCTCGTTGTGTGGTACAGTGAGAAGGAGGACTTGATTTAGCATTTAGGAGGAGAAATTTGATCAGGCATCAGGTCAGCAGAGAGGAGGAGTAGGACAGAGGCCGGACACCTGCCAGGCCCGAGTGTGCCTCTGCTCCTGGGAGCACGTGCACCTCTCTGCAGCCTCCCTGAGCCTTCCTTGTCTCTGCTTTGCCAGAGGGATGGGCAGGGGCTGTGGGGCGGCTGCTCCAGGGATCCTGGGCAGGAGGAGGCTGTGCCTGCTGACCCCTACAACAGGCAGGGACTGGCCTGGCAGCTCCTGGGGGCATTAAGAGCTGCCTGCAGCCTGGCCCTGCTGGTGACAGCTCACATCTTCTTGGCCTTGCGTATTAAAGGTCTGTGTCTGTGCCCTGACCCTGCAGGTCTCACCCTGAGTGTTCCCTGCGCTCTGCCCCGTGCCTCGTGGGGATCCAGCAGTGAAGAGCAGGGAGCAGCTTTCTGTGCTAAGCTGATACCCCCAGTGTTACCATACTCTGACGTGCCTGCTCCCTTTTTATAGACAGTAAATGATTTTTTTATAGAGGTACAAAGTGGTACAGCAAGGTGCAGGAGAGAGTTTGTGCCAATTCTCTCTTTTCTTGGTCTGTCCCTTGTCATCTCAGAGTGGCTGGCAGTTGCCAGCCTTTGCCTGGAGCAGGAAGGCACAGACAAGACAGCAGTTCAGGGAGAAGCTTCAGGGGAATACTTGTGACGTTGGACGAGCCATTCCAGGGCCACCAAAATACAGAAGGGTGAGAATGGCGCTCTTCCCTGTTAGTACAGCAGCTTTACTTAAAATCTCAGAGCTTGTAAATATTACAGATCACAAGGTGATTTAAATATGTTTGAGGCCAGAAATTTGTTCCCAGATTCATCCCTTCCAGCAACACTGAATATTGGATGAATTGCAAATTGAGAAAAGATGTGACGTGGAGGAAATTTATGCCAGCAGTCTCAGGGAGAGGGAAACTAGGACAGTGTGAAATGAGTGAAATGATGTCTGATTTGGCCCTGTTAATTGGACAAGGGCAGAGGGAAGAGGTTAGTAGTGGCTTGGGGAAGAGGGATGTCATTTAAGAAAATGTGTGCACCTCCCATGATGCACAGAAATAAATTTCTGTTTCAGTTCCCTGTCAGACAAACGGAGCAAGTCATCCAGGCAGTAGAATGGTCTGTCTTTGTTACTTCAGGCTTCAAAATGTCCTCTCAGATAAAAGTAAAACATGCTTTTTCCCTTGTTCTTTCCAACAGGAAAGAGACTGCAAGAATGGATCTCTGTCATCTTATGCTTCTCTCTGATCTGCTTCAATTTTTACAATCTCCTCTTGTACTTGCGGCTGGAGCACACGCCCTCGGTTCTCGTTGGGATTTGTAAGTAGGAGCTGTTTGCTGCCTGCCCAAGGCAAGGCTCGAGTGATGTGGGATCCTTTAGGCTTGGCTTCCTGCTGGAAAGGGACAGGGACATCTGTGTGCGAGCCTCTGCAACTGAGGCCATCTGCAAAACGTGCCACTGCTTTGTCTTTATGTTTCAGTGGCTTCTCAGTCTCTCAGAGGGGAAGTTTTGATGTAGCTGAGTAAGTTTGGTGTTCTTGTGTAGTCACTGCAAATGTGAGGACCACTGAGAAGGAAAAGAGCTGTCAAAATTATCAGAGTTGGAAACAAAATACATCGCTCGACAAAAATATTCACAAGAACTTTCCAGAAAGCAAAAGCCCAAAGATGAGCTTGCTGGACAGGAATAAAAGGTGCTTCAGGCACCAAACTGCCTTCATTTCTGGGGACGGCAGGCTGAACACAAGAATTCTGGAGAATTGTGCTTTCATGTCAGGATGTGATGTTTGGCCTTTATTATCCTGAACGATGACTTTTTCAAGGAGTATAAGAAAAGTTGATTCCACCTCTTCTGTGGAGGAGAGGAAGAACCAGTGAAGGATTCCGATAGAATGTTCAGCTCCTGTGCTTTAGAAAAAAAATAGCTTTGCTATAACCTGTGTGGGTGTGTGTTTTAGAAGAGAATGGTACTTGTTCATCATCAGTGCTGTGCATTGCTAATGAGTTCAAACAAAAGAAACAAAACCCACCCAAACCACTGCACTGGGTTCTTGCCTGCCCTCAGCTGATGAGGTGCAGGGAGGAATGGAGAGAGCATGGCATGGGAACTGCTCCTTGGGGATGGGGGCAGATCAGCCAAGGGAATCAGCATGATGATTAACCCGTGGTGCAATCTGTTTGCAGCTGGCTTTCATCTCAAAGTTAATATTGATAAAAGCTGGAGCTCTCTGATATCCTGGTTACCAGTTTAACTGATAAAGCAGCCAATTCACTGATAGTATTATTTAAGTAGTAGTGAATTATTAAAGTAGCAGAATCTGGATTCTGTGTAAATAAAGTGGTGTGGAAATAATGGATAGTGTGTACAAAAATGAGTGCCATAAAATAGTAAGTGCTTCAGGCTATCTTGTTTTGCTGCCTTCAATACATTGTTTCTCTAGGTAAAGTGTGAATGATGTCTGTAATTCACAGTGATTATTAGGTTTTATTGCATATTGTGCAAGTCATATCCATAAAAGTCCTGGTTCCTAAATACGTGAGCAGCTCCATGGACACAGTTGGGAATCCTGAGTCACCCACAGGGTAAGGTGTGTTCCACTGACAGCTTTCCTCACGCTTGGCTTGGAATGTGGACCTTAATCTGAAGTCATAAAATAAACATTCTGCTAATAAAGACGGAGCTGGAGATCCAGCTCCTGCCAGGTCTTTGGGAATCTGTTCCAGTGGGCTGGATCTGTTCTGCTGCACAGACCTGTTCACTGCACGGGGACCCTCTGTGTGCTGTTTATAAATACGTATTTTCCTGTAGGAAATGAAGGACTTGAACGTTCTGCATGGTTGCACTGAGCCCTAACGCTGTGTCTGTAACTAAAGGGTGTCACAGCTCCTTTCTCTGTGCCTGCAGAGGCACACAGCACTGTCACACGAGCACTTCTGCACATGCCTTAACCCGGAGATTCCGGGGCAGGAGATCTGCCCTGGGCAGCAGTCCCTCCCTGAGTGTCCCTGCCCCAGTGCTGGGCAGCATGGCACCGGTGCCCTGGCCCTGCTGGGTCACTCGGGGCCTGCAGGGCAGTGCAGCACGGAGGGACACCGTGGTGGCCTTGCTTCGAGCAGCTCAGCCTGTGTCATGTCCTGCTGACTAAGGATGAGCTTGCTGGACAGGAAGAGCCGCGGGACTCTCTTGTCTCCCAGGTGGTTTAGCAGAGATGAGACAATTTCCTTCCCCTCCTCACCATAAAACAAAAAAGAGAAAAAAAAAAGAGTAGGCAGAGGATGGATTTCTGCCGTGGCTTGTGCTGACTCGATCCATGCTCTGCTCTGGGCAGCCATGGAGCTGTTCCTCTTTCTGCAAGCTGAGAGTTGTGCAGATCTGAGTTTGGTGTTTTATTGGCATGCACACAAACACACAGTAAACTCTGGCTGCAGTGGGGCTGTGAGGGAGCCTGAACACCCCCGTGTTTCCCAGGGCAGCAGGACAGCATCCCTGCAGTGCCACAGAACCAGAGCAGTCTCTGCCACTGTAATTGAAGGTTGGTAGTGCCAGGGACAAGGCTGGCAAAGGGATTATTGTGTGGTAAGCAGAAAAGCCTCACCAAGACATGTAATATCAGGCTTGAAAGCCCTCACACCTTCAGGTGATCTTGTGGTGTCCACCATATTCAATATACATGAGCTGAATATATAGTTCATATATTAATAACATCTAGATAAAAAGTTTGGCAAGTTACAGCATGAATCTTGGTTTTCATTTTCCTCTTCTTCCTCATATTTTTGTACAGGGTTTTAAACCCCATTTTTCCAAGTTGGTTGACTTGTTTCAGGCATGTGACTGTTATCTGCAGTCACATTTGTTCATGACAAGGACTGTTCATTGCAGTCTTAAAAAAAAGAAGAGTTAACTTCGTGTTGTAACCTGTTTATATTCCTAGGAAGTGCCCCACATAGGTCAGGTATCTTTAGGAACATCTTGTGACATGATACAAGTTACAATTAATTACTGCTCTCTTGAAAGATGGGCAACTGATTTGTTTTTTTAACCCATTTGAGGTACATGTTTCAGCATTGCAGAGGTTGTGGGTTAGCCAGAGAGAGCACACAGGAAGAAATCACTTAGTGCGGTTTCAAACCAGAAACTGGATCTCATCAAGGCCCAGAACCTCTTTGTTTCAAGCTCCAGCAGCTCTGCAGGGCTGCCCTTGGTCAGCTGCATTGCAGAGCCAGACATGAGTGTGTAACACACAAAAGGTGTGGCAGATGTTGGAGAAAAAACGCTCCAGAGACATCAGTGTTGGCTGAAGAGAGTGCTGGGCACATGGCTCAGGTCTCCACGTCCTGCTGCCTCACAACTCCAAGGATGGCACTTCATCTTGGATTTATTAGGTGCATTAAAATGAGTTTCCACCTGAAATTTTGTTTTAAAAGGTTCTTGAAATTACACCAGAAATCTCAGCTAGCAAACGAAAGCGATCCTTTACTTCAGTGCTGGTCCAAGTAAGTTGGCTCTTTGTCACCTTCTGTCTCACCCACCTGAAGTAACCATCAGTACTTGGAATCTGTGGGCACCTTTGAGTTTCCATTCTCAGCGGCATCATCACTTAAAGAGGGAAACTCCACAAGCTGTGATTAAAGAGACAGAGCTGTGGTTCTGTTCCCTCTGCAGAGATACCTTTGTGTGGCAGCAGCAGGGTTTGTGTGGTGCTGCTGTGGATCCCTGGGGCAGAACTGGGGTGGTTCTGTGGAGCCTGGCTGGTGGGGCACCAGAAACAGGAGCAGGGGTTGCTCTTGGGCAGAACCGGGGTGGTTCTGTGGAGCCTGGCCGGTGGGGCACCAGCAGGAGCAGGGGTTGCTCTTGGGCAGAACCGGGGTGGTTCTGTGGAGCCTGGCCGGTGGGGCACCAGCAGGAGCAGGGGTTGCTCTTGGAAGCAGTGACCTGGTATAGTCACTGCTGGTTTGCCCTCAGCAGGTGATGCTGGCACCATTGCTGTTCTCTGTCTCACTGGGGTGGGGATGGACTCGTGTGCTGCAGCTGTTTGGGGCAGGGGCTGCCGAGGCTCCTGCCCTGGCACTGCCCCGTCTGTGTCCCCAGGGGCGTGCCAGGGGACAAAGGCAGCTCTGTCTGCCTGCCCAGTTGTCAGGAGCTCTCTTAAAGTCACAGCAGAGTTTGGCTGGAGGATGAAGTTTATCAGGTGGTGGTTCTGAGCCAAGCTGTGCTTTTGTAGATGAGTGTTTGCTTTAAGATCTGCCGCTGTTCAGCCCTGGAGGAGACAGGACCCCGATTCCTTGGGGACCTCCTGTCACTGCAGTGTCCCAGGCATTGTTGGGAGGCATTGCTGGAGGCAGGGCACTGGTCCCAAGGCATTCCCAGAGCAGGGATAGCCCCAAGGAGAAGTGCCTGCTCTGTGAGTGATGTGCCAGGCTTGCCAGGGGAGCTGCTGTGACGGAGCCCAGGCTGCTCGTGTCCCTGGAGCGCGGGTTCTGCAGACAGGACTTGTTGGCAGCCCTGCTTACAGTGTGATAAAACTGCTGTAGTGCCTTTGCTGTCCCAGCCCTGCTTGTGGGCACTCTCAGGTCCAGTTCTGACTGAACGTTCCTCAGCTTTATTAGCCAAATTTATGAACTCTTCTTTTTTCCCTTTCAAGTTGCTGCAGGTTATACTTATTGAAATGTCCAGGGATTATAATCTTTGCCTTGTAACTTGCCATAATACCAAACCCCTGCCTTCTCTGTACAGAAAGTCACTAAATGGGGACTCCAGGTGATTAAGGCATTTTATTTTCATAAGCATGTAAGTGACAAACAACTGGTTCTTTGGCATATTGATATTTAGACAAGAAGATATTTTTGTGTGTGAAGTTAGCCATGCCAACCCTTTAATGCTGTCCAACCAGTTCATGCAGTCACCCATTAAACACGATTGTACTTCTCAGGGGTGTTACACAATAGCATCGAGTTATTTAATGACATTGTATCCTGGTTTCTTCCTCTCCAGAGACTCTAACTGAATTTTTGCAGTAACTATGAAACTTTGTATGCTTTGATGTAAGACTTCAAGGTTACAATTTGATGATTCTATCTACGCAAAGCCAAGCTTACGCTCAGCTCCTGAAACTTGGGTGAAGTAAACTTTTAATGGTAAATGTGCACAGCAGTTTTGTCTCTCAAAGCTCTTGTGGGGCCTCCTCGTTCTGCAGGCCCCGGGAGCAGCCTGGCCACGGGAAGTGGTTTGAGATCACCCACAAGAGCAGAGGCTGCAGTTGTCTCTCAGTTTGACTGAAGCAGTGAAGAGGTGGAGAGGGGCCTTTCCTGGGTCACAAACCCTACACATTCCCTGGTTTCTGAGCCAGACAGAGCTGCCCTGCATCCCTGGTGTGTTTGGGGCAGTTGCTTGTCCAGCCACATCCCGCTGTGGGGAGAGGCACCTGGTGTTGTGCCTGGGAGAGTGACAAGCTTGGGGAAACGGGACAGAGCAGCATTCCCAGCAATGTGTGTGGCAGTCCAGTGTTTGCTTGGATACTGGTCGGAGTTTGGGTTCCCTGCGTGCTGGGCTGCCTTCCTTCCTCCTAATTCTGCAGTCTACTTGCAAACCAAAAAATCCTAGTGTTGTGAGCAAGTCCTGCAGCTCGTGTCCTTTTGCCCTCCTTCTGTGTGCTCCGAGCATCGCCTCCTCCGCGGGGATGACCCCTGGATGGGCCGATGCTCGCCCCTTTCTCAGTGAGCTGGAGGAAAGCTAATGTGTGTGGATCAGGACTTCCCTCAATCTGCACTGAGCTGGCTTCTGGTCAGTGTTGAGTCCACTGTTTGCAGTTCTACACCTCAGCTGGGGTTATCTTGCTTTTTCTGACTGTGGTTAACATTTCACGCGTGCTCAGGGCTGCCAGTCTCCTCTCGCCCTCCCAGCCTCCCTGCAGAGCATCGAGATCTTCTGCCACCTCTGAGCAGCAGCTGAACTCCTGTGCCTTGGTCTTGCCACGTTCAGTGAAGCCAGTGCTGGGTGTGGGAGGGTGCTGAGCCCAGTTCATCAGTGAGAGCCCCTGAGCCCGGGGACAGGACACACACCAAGTGTCACCATGCTGCTTATGTGGAACCTCAGCACAGCTCTCTCTCTTTTACTGCAACTCACCCTCCACAAGTGCAGAGGAGAGAGCACACCCTGCTGCAGTACAGCTGGAACAAGATTGCTGGTAGTTAGGTTTCCTCCCAATTGCTTTAGTATAATGCACTGCTCCAGGCACCCTCCATTCTTGCCTCTACCAGCTCACATCAGAGCAACACGAGGAACATCTATTGAAGTGTCAGTATTTTGCCTCAATTTGTGTTGCTGTTCCTGCAGTTATCTCACTGGGCTGATGCAGCAGCTGGAGGCGAGGCAGGCTAATGGGGGCATTACCTCAGCGAGAATGGCATTTGAGTCCTTGCAAAGAGAAGTGTTGTTTGGATGTCTTCCCCTGAAGCCAGGCTGTTGCCCTTTCGGCTGCTACAGCAGATCCAAACGCTATTGTGTCCCACCCGCTCTCGCTGTAGCCTGCATGTGTGGTCTGAAACAAGAACAAATGCACAGAATTTACTGCTTGGAAAATAAGCTGTCTTCAGTGTAATAAGGGGTAGATAAAGAATGAAGTGTCTCCTGCTGCATTTAAGAGTTTGGGCCAACTGGATAATGGATTCAGCATCCGGGGCTGATTTATAATAGGAGAAGAGCTTTTTTATTTCTTCTCCTTTCTAAAAATGAAAGGTGAGGGGAAGGACCACAGAGGCGAGGGGTCAGCTAAGCAAAAGGTACCCACTAGGGAGGTATTTCTGTTCTGTAGGAGATGGGCTAAACACAAATACAGATTTAATGAAGATTGCTGCTGTCCAAATAGTGTCTTGCTAACCTCTTTCTCCTAATTGCCTGACCGTATGTTTATTCAGACTGGGCAGAGCTCATGTGGTTGTAAATATCTAAGTTAGAGGCAGAAAACAAGTGCACTTCTGAAATAAGAATAAGATGTGGCCGAGTCAGTAAAAATGCTGTGTTTGTCTGACCCTCTCTCTCTCTCATTCAAGTTGCAGGAGTTATCACAGCCGACTTCCTCTCAGGACTGTTCCACTGGGGAGCAGATACCTGGGGATCTGTGGAGCTGCCCATCGTTGGAAAGGTGTGAGATTGTTCTTCTTTAGCTCGAGAAGGCTCTGAAGTGCCCCTCTGCAGCACTGGCAGTGCTCACAGCTGCGCTGGGCTCTGTGCCACACCCAGCCCAGGCAGGGCCGTGGTGCCCCTGGCCAGGGACGCTGCGAGGGGGCACCGTGTGTGTGTGGGGGGGGGGCACCGTGTGTGGGGTGCCACTGCTCCGTTTTGCACTGCCTCGAGGCCGGCAGTGTGGCAGTGCCCTGTCTGCAGACCTCTCGGGCTCTGTGGGAGCGGCCTGTGGCAGCACTGCCCCTGGCTGGGCACTGTGCGTGGTCAGAAGGTCAGGAACACAGATCCGGAGAGTTGTCCCCCCTCAAATTTGTGAAACGTGAGGCTGCTCCGGGAAGAATCTTCCCAGTTCCCTCTTCTGTGGGCCCCTGTAGTAACACAGTATTACTAGAGTGGTGGTGACCGAAGATTTAATTTGATATGTATTATACACCTGCAGCTACCAATGCCAGTTGCTTAGTGGAAAGTGCACTGGCTTCTGTAGTAAGCAACAATCTGTTTTCTTAATTAAATTTCTTAATAGCTACCATTAGTTAGTCCTCACAGTGCAATATTAGAAGGATCATTATTAAAAAAAAAAAAAAAAAAGGGCTATTCCTTGTTATTATCCAGAGTTACACAAACTACAACAGAAGAATTAAAACTGTTGAGTTTGGCTTTTTTCAACAGACCTTTAGTCTTAAACCCCTGTCTCTCTGGACCACAGTGTAAATAACTTTTAAAAACCCTACTGCTAGGTACTCTGTGCTAAATAACCACGAGCTGAGGCTGCTCAAGACACGTTTGCATAAGCTGAACATCCTGGAAGTGTTAAAGGCAAATCACAGTTTTACTGTGTCCCCCACAGTAAAACAATTGCTCTGTGTGTTCAGATGTGATTTCTGCTCCTAGAGGTGACTTCTGTATGCTCTGTCTTCCACTGCTTTGTCCAGTCACTTAATTTGCATTTAGTCTGTTAGTGCTGGCATCTGCAGCCCGTAAATATGCTAGGCTGAATCCTATTTTTTTAGTGTTTTTTTCCCTTGGTTGATTCTGCTTAGCAATTGAATTTCACAGCTTAATTTGCCTGGGAAATAAGGGTGCCGATGCTTTGTTTTTGAGATTACATACTAAAGGTCCTAAATGAAAATTTAGAAGAAGAAAACTGAAAAGCAAAGAAGACCTGGATTTGTGTGGGGGAACTGAATTGCTTTGCAAATGTAGATCAGATTTTCTGAAGTGTCATAACAAAAGTTTGAATCCCATTTACACCCTTTGTACTATGAATTCTGTTCAACTCAATCATCAGATTTGAGTGTATGAGAGGGTTTGTTTGGGTTATTTTTTGTGATATTTTTCTTTCCAAGAGCATTATTGAGTGTGCTATTGTGTTTATCCAATTGTTTCCCCAGGCTTTCATCAGACCCTTTAGGGAACACCATATTGACCCCACAGCAATCACCAGACATGATTTCATAGAGACCAATGGAGACAACTGCTTCATGACACTGGTCCCCCTGGCAAACATGGCCTACAAGTTTGTGTCTTTTTCCCCAGGTAAGCTGTTACTTCTGACTGCTGTGGATTTAGTGTTCTTGTTGCTATTGAATGAATATTTGTCCGTGTGAAGTCTGGAGGAATCCACGGATGGGGTACGACATGAAACAGCTGTTGGAAGCATGATTCTCCCAGCAGGAGGGAGGGAAACTTTTCTTTCCTTTGAGGTCTGGTGGCAAAAGGTGGCACAGTGAGGTTCTCTAGCTCAGCAGCGAATTAGGGGCAGGAGAGTTGGAAAGGAAAATTAGAAGTTGTGCTAAATAAGTTTTTTGTGAGAGGGACCAAGCTGTGAACATCTGGGGAAACTCATTGTTCCAAAGTGTGTAACACAAAACAGTGCATAATCTCTGTGCACAAGTACTTTATGTGCAAAGCAGAAGTCAAGAACTAAAGGGTTAATTTTAAATTAATTTAATTTTAAATTTAATTTTAATTAAATTAATTTTATAGACTCAGTTTGCCTTCCTGTTTATGGTGTGTTGACAGATTTGGCACTTCCCAGCCTGTCTGGTGGCATTTGGGAATTGCTTGTGGCTCGCTGGCTGTTGTGCCACTTGTGCCAGAGCAGCTGTGCTGAGGCCTTTGCCAGGAGCTCTGGCTGTCCTGGCAGCAGCGTGCCGTTCATGGCTGCTGCCCCAGCTGCCCGTGGTGTTTTGCAGAGGCGCTGTGTGACACCTGTCCCTGGGAGTGTTACGTCTTTGCCCTCATCATCTTCATAACCATGACGAACCAGATCCACAAGTGGTCCCACACGTACTTCGGCCTTCCACGCTGGGTCATATTCCTCCAGGACTGGCACATCATCCTGCCCCGGAAGCACCACAGGATCCACCACGTGTCCCCTCACGAGACCTACTTCTGCATCACCACGGGTACTGTGCCCTGCAGGGCCCTGGGACAGCTGTGAGACATCTGTGTGACACCTGTGTGACACCTGCAGGGCCCTGTGACACCTGTGAGATAACTGTGTGACACCTGCAGGGCCCTGTGACACCTGTGTGACACCTGCAGGGCCCTGCCAGGACACTGTGTGACACTGCAGGGCCAGGCAGCTCCCTGTGCTCTCACCAGCTCCTGGCAGAACTTCGTACAAAGTGTGGGGGAAGGTTTGTGATCAGCTGCAGGAACTCAGAGCCTCAGGGAGCACTCAGAGGTGCTGGGATCTGATTGCCTGGGGTCTCGAGCTCAGGCCACTAATGGGGTTTGTTCACTAAAGCTGCTGTTCCTTCAAAAGAGCAGAATGTCTGCAGCTGGTCTGGAATGCTCATTTCTAAAAGCCAAGCTTCTGGATTTTGAGCATCCACTCATTCTGACTCAGAGGTGGACAGGTCTGCAGAAAGCTTTAGCTTCCTTTTATATCCATACAGGTGGGAATGCTCAGTCACCAGTGTTGCACAATCCTAAATAAGTTATCAAGTTAATCAGACAGCTGGAATTAAACACCCTGGTTCTTCATTGGCTTTGACAAACGGTTCATGTGGGTTTTGAAACCTCTGCCAAGAAAAAAATCTAATTCTCATTAGCAGAATGTCATGTAGAAGCATGGTACAATTAAGAAGCCTGACTTGACAGATGGTAGCAAAAATCTTGCCACCCAAAGAGCTATTTTTAGTCCTACTATGTGCTGAGAGTTTAAGCCTGACCATTATTAGCAGTATTGGGCCGGTTGCTTTTATTTCTCATTAAAAAAATGCTGAACTTTGGACACTATGACAAACTAATCCTCTTTTTCCTTTGCAATCCCTTAGGTTGGCTGAATTATCCATTAGAGAAGATAAGATTTTGGAGATGTTTGGAGAACATCATCCAAGGACTTACTGGGGAGAAGCCAAGAGCAGATGACATGAAATGGGCTCAGAAAATCAAATAACTTCTGCCAGCCTTCTGCAATCCTTAACTTGTTGCCAATGTTGTTTTTAAAAGAAAAAAAAAAATAAAGCCATCAGCCAAATTCAAGACCTGCAAAGAAATAACAGACTCTAAAGCACAAACTAAAAAGTGCTAACACAGACTGCAATGAAAGAACTAATTCTTAAAACAATACTTGAAATGAAGATGATTACTCTCACTGAGCACCTTTTGTGTAGCCATGTCTGCTTACACCTTAGAGCTTGCTTGGTCGCTGTACCCGTGAGGTACCGGGCACGCCAGAGGCAGCGCGGGCACGCCGGGGGGACGTGGGGCGCAGGAAACGTGTGTTGTATCAACATTCCCAGCACTTCCCGGACAGCCTGCTGCCCAGGACCCGCAGGGAGAGCGCTGGCAGGCTTGGCACTCGGTGTTGGAGTGCAGGGCACTGCGTGAGAGCAGGGGGGAGCAATGGAAGTCTATCAATCATGACTGCTCAATGCACGGTGATTGATCCACGTACAGCTCTGTCTTCACGATCATGTTCAGCCTGATTGATGTCGTGTGGAACAGACCTCGAGAATCCCGCTCCTCCAGGGGCCACCAATCCTCAAGTGTCTTCAGTTTCCCTTAAAACAAAATTGTTCTACTCTCCTCGTGGAATTGAGCAGTTTCTGCATAAGCCTTCAACTTCAGGGGCCTCTGAGGAGAGGGAGGGCACCCTACAGCACATGTGTCTGTTCGTGTGGAGTGCTCACTGCTGAGTCTTCTATTAAGTGTTTCCTACCCCGACAATAAATGTTTGAAATAGTTCTAGCATTGGGCACACTGCAAATAGCTGTATTCAAGAGCTCAAGGTATCAAACTCATAATGTTAGAAGGGAAATGTCAATGACCGGTGTTTTGTTCTTTTTATTTTTTTAAGGTGCTTGCTTGTTTCTGTAAATAATATAAAGCCTTAATCTCTTCTGGTGTAATGGAATAATATTTTAATGTGATGTTTGAATGTATATAATATATTTATAACAAAGCAGTTGGATAATACTAATCATGTTCAAGTCTTGTTGCTGTTTTTCATTGCTGCACTGGCAGCACTTAGTGCAAGAGCTGGATCAGTGGTTGCACAACACCTTGTGCAGTCCCTCCTGAGACACCTGGCAGCCTGTCACAGCTTGTTTGGGTTGCAGTGATCATCTGCCAGCCTTTTAGGAGCCTGGCACTATGTTATACCAGACTTCTACACCTTTGGAGAAGTGTAAGTAATTCATTCTGCTCTGGATGCAGAGGAGTAACCTCTGAAGTTTCTCTAAAAATATCCAATAAGCACTTTACTAAGTTAATGTGACTTGGATCTTGTTCAGTTCCTGCCTGACTGAAAGCTTAGTGCTGATCAGATGTAAGGCATGTTCCCTCCTCTAGCTGTGAGTTGTGTTGCATTCAAGCTGCCTCTCCCTGAAGAGCAGGGTAGGATGGTTTTGAGTCATAGGTTTAGCCTGAGCTTGCAGATACGGTGGATGGATTCTGAATGAGTTGGGATGTGGCAGCTCTCCTTCAGTGGGAGTGCTGAATGCAGATGCTTCTGAGCTGGTTCTGCAGATGAAAATCACTGTTGGTACCTTGGTCACCAAGTATTTCATCTGTGTTCAGACCCTTGGAGAACTCCGTGCCATGACATGAAACTTTCCTGTTCCCATTGCCACAGTCACTAGCAGGTCTCCACGCAGCTTTGACATTAAAGAATTCTTCCACTTCAGCAGGAGTCCCAAAATGCCTTCAGCTGATTCTGGAGAGCTCTGGACAGAGCTGGGTGGATGTTCAGGGCTCCTGTGTAAATCAGCCTGAAGCACTGGATCCTCTGAGAGCTGTTTTCATTGCTGCTTTAAATGCCAAGTGCAGTGGATGGAACAAATGGATTTGGGACACAGAAATCACCAGAATTTGTACTTCCAAAGTATTGTTTAAGGCATTGCTGCTGCCCAAACCTCTCTTGGCCGCTGTTGCCTTACTGGAAACAAATCTGAGCTACTCGTACTGGTGGCTGCTGGGACTATTTATCTGTTAATCTTGCTTAATTATGAGAAACTGGGACAGAGTTAATCTCCAGATGCATTTTCCACGTGGCTGCTGTGCTGGGCTCCTGGGGCAGCCCTGGCTCTGACCCCACACCCGACGTGGCTGTGGCTCCAAGGTCCCTGTTCCACCCCTCCAAAGACGTGGATGCTCCCACAAAATCAGTATGGCAATTCTGGAGCAAAAGGCTGCGTGGATCCTTTTAACAGCTGTAAATCTGGCTTAAGAAAATTTGTCTTAAATTGATTAGGAACAGATTAGAGCTGAAGCAGAATAAGGCACTCCTGTTAAACTCCTAAGGGATGGATGGCCTGCATTTCAGTCCAATGCTTTTAAATGCTTTTAAAAGCTCTGATTTTAGTCTCGCCTCCACGGAAACTCTGCTCAGGCTCCTGCTCTCTGGACCTTCAGAAGGACTCTCAGGCCTCCAGCTTTTGCCAGGGCTGCAGTTGTCTTCCATGAGTGGATCTTGTGGTCAGGAGGGCCTTGGAGGAGCAGGAGTGATCCCTGTGTCCATCCCAGGGGCAGGGGTGATCTGCACTGCAGAAGCCCACCCAGACAGAGCTGTCTGGGGTCACGGCTGCACAGGGAAGTGTTGTACTGTAGTAAACTGAAGAAAATTACTGCAGAGTGCCTCCAAATCCCAGCTGGAGGTTTTGCTCAGGCGTGGTGCCTGTCGCTGCGATCCTCCCGGGCCATGAGTTAGCAGTGCACAAGGTGGAGGGGAGTAACAGAGTCACCCACCCTGCACCCCGAAGCTGTTGGGGACCCACCCTGCTGGGGCAGGTGGGCTGTGCCCGCCGAGCTGGGCTCTTGTGCACCTAGCTGCTTCTGCTGCTGCCTTCTGCTCTTTCCTTCCTGCTGCCCTTCCTTTCCTTCCTTCTGCCTTCTGCTCTTTCCTCTTTCCTTCCTGCTGCCCTTCCTCTTTCCTTCCTGCTGCCCTTCCTCTTTCCTCTTTCCTTCCTGATGCTCTTTCCTCTTTCCTTCCTACTGCCCTTCCTCTTTCCTTCCTGCTGCCCTTCCTCTTTCCTTCCTGCTGCCTTCTGCTCTTTCCTTCCTGCTGCCTTCTGCTCTTTCCTCTTTCCTTCCTGCTGCCCTTCCTCTTTCCTCTTTCCTTCCTGCTGCCTTATCCTGCCTCTTCCTGTGCCTTTTTCCGTCCCTCCTGCTGCCTCGAGCCGGCCCGTGCTGAGCGCGGCTGCCATGAGATGTGACTGTGTGAATAAAAGGCAGCCAAATGTGACTGGGTGAATAAAAGGCAGCCAAACTGTGACTGGATGAATAAAAGGCAGCCAAAATGTGACTGGGTGAATAAATCCAAGCGGTGAGACCGGCGCTGCTGGTGTACAGCAGCTGCTGCTGCCGTCGCCGCTCGGGGCTGGGTCTGGGAGGGCTCAGTGCACGGCGGGGCTGAAGCTGCCGTGGGTCTCCGGAACGTTTTGCCTCGTAACAATTCTGGCTGTTTCAGAGGATGCTCTGGGCTCCGCGTTTTGAGCGTGTGTTGCAGAGAGAAGTGAAGCAGAACTCATTTCCTTCCCATTTCTTTAAGCTTTTTCCGTATACCGCAGGCAGGGAGCGGGCCGGAGGAAGCTGGCCGAGTGTCGGGGGTGTCCCATGCCCGTTGTCCCGGACGTTGTCCCGCGTTGTCCCGGAGCCCGGGGCCGCATGGAGCGGCGATGCCGCCCGCCCGCGCGGCGGAGCTGCGGGAGCGCCGCGCGTGAACCACGGAGTTCCCCGCGCGCGCCCGCCCCGCCGCCAGCTCCGCTTAGCGCGCCCGCCCGCGCCCGTCCGCCGTTCCCGCGTTGCGGTGACGTCAGGCGGGGGCGGGGCCGGCGGCGGCGGCGCAAGATGGCGGCGACCACGGGCGCGGGTGAGCGGGGCCGGGCCGGGCCGGGCGGCGGGGCCGCGCCTCGCCCCGGGGCTCCGCGGGGCCGCGCCGGGGCGGAGGGGCGGCCGCGGCCGGGGGAGGGGCGGCGGCGCGGCCCGAGCGGGCTCGGCGGGGCGGGGGCGGAGCCGGAGCCGGCCCCGGGTCGAGCCGCGGGTCCCGGCGGGCCCGGCCGCGCCGCCCAGGCTGCCGAGGCCCGGCGCCGGGAGCGGGCCCGGCGGGCGCGGGGCCGCTCGGGCTGGGCGGGGCTCGGGGCCCGGGCCGGGCCGGGCGGGCCGCAGCCCCCGGCGGTGGTTCCGGAGCGAACCGGGCGCTGTAAAAGCCGTTCTGGCCCGTTCTGGCCCGTGGCCTCTCTCTGTGTGCTCCGAGGAGGCAGTGCGTTTTTATTCCCTTCAAACCTGCTCCACACCGCACACCAGCTCCAAGTACTTGCACACGCTCTCCCTCCTCATCATTACATATGAAACAAAAGTACTGCAGCTCGATTTGGAGTGAGGTCTTTTTTTCCTGTTGACATCCTCTAATGAACTTGAACAGATCGAGTAAATCAGAGTCACTTCTGCTGAGGCAGTTTCATTTTCCTGTTTTCCCAGCCCATAGAGGGTTTCACATGTGCCCCTGTAGTGCTTGTTTCCACATTGCACTCTCCAAAGTTTGACTGTGCTCACCAGCAGTATTTTGGAGTTCTTTTTGTACAGATAGTTCTCTGTCAGTCACCACTCAGATTTTAAGAATTACCGTCATGCCACAATGCACATAATTCATAATAATCAAGTTAATAAAAATGTGGTTAAGTGCAGTGGTTGTTGTTATGAGAACCGTGCTACAGGTCTGTGTTTGAAGGCGTTGAGTGGAGACACAGAAGCTGTAGCTGGGAGGAAGGGACCCTCCTTCCCCCGTTAGGTCACATTCTGCCTGCTCTGCCTTCTCGGTGATCCTTTCAGGCTGCTGACTCTGCAGTTTGTGTCTGGCTGCCAGAACAAGGCCGATACTTTCCTTTTCAAGGCAGCGCAGCCCTGAGAGGGGATTGTTGGGTGCTCATGGGCGGGCAGGTGTGGGAAGGGGCTGGGCTGCAGTGCCACCCCCAGCGCGGCCTTTGGGACAGGCGGTGGTTACCTGGCAGCTGCTGGCCAC